TTTTTTTAAATTTTATTTAAACATATTTATTGAATACAATCTGTGCCAACGGGTGAGTACAGTATCATAACAATATTAAAAATTATACAAAAAAAAGTGCTTCTTATAGACATATAATTTGAAAAATTAATTTGGACATTGTATAAAATATAAGTGATAAATAACAAATATATTGGAATGTTGATGAATGATGTACAGTGGAACAATGTAAAATAATGCGTTCCATGTCGAAAAAAAAGTATAACTTCGTCTTGATTTTTAACGAGTTTGGTTTTCATATCTATGGTTATTTCTATTGTTTGGCTTTTTATTCGGAGACAAGCAAGTGTTATTAAATTTTGCACAAAAATAAATACAAATAACATGTCTGAACTCAAGTTTGGGTATATGTGTTATCACAAACAACACTAAGATTCAACTACAATGACTACTAACATCAGAAACTACTTTTTTATTCACACACGGTGGAGTGAGTTAATATTTGTTTATATAAAAAAGTGTAAGTGTTGACAATGTGGTCATGCAATGTGACTTGTGGATTCATCTCTCGGCAAAGGCCCTTGGCAGCTCGCTCGATTTTTTGTTTAATGGTTTGACCTTGGCATTGGTATGCCCGGGATTGTTTTCGTGGGCCTCTCGGGGCATTTTGTGGACCATGTAGCATGGTCATCGGAGTTGCAAGCCACACACTTTGGTGGAAGCGGGATATACATCGTTGGCTGGTCAGTCACTCTCGATATGTCGTTTTTGCAAAATCTGTGTTTGATTGCAGTTGATATAATGTGCTGGCTAATTTCAGTAATGCTGTTTGCTCACAATCGACAACGATGTGGTATATGTATTTTTAGTAGGCGCTTTTACCAAATCCTGAAATATGACCTCGAACCTGCATGTATTTGAGATATGCGAGGACAATGGTCTTGGGGTTGTGTGTTTTTATTAAGAAGCCAGTTTTGGTTTGGATGATTGAGTGCAAGCGGTTTATTGGGTTTTTGAAATATATGTCGGACAGTAGAGTGTTGTCGCGGCTATAGAAATAGAAGATGTTGTACATTTTAGTGATTGGTGTGTTTATTGAAGTTGATTTGCCAGGTACGTTTTTCGGAACTTAAAATGTATTTGCATCGTATTATTTACTGATATCAATATCAGTTACTTGCATTGTTTGTTATTATCTTTGTATAATTTTTTTGTCATTATAATAATTTATTAATTTCATTCATTTTTTTTAAATAATTTTTGTTGGATTTAATTTGCAATGAAAATATTAAAAAAAAACAATCTTCTAAACAAATTGTGATAAGAGATAAAACGTATTTATTAAATTATCCTTCATTAAGAAATTCTTCTAAACAAAATGAGATAAGAGATGAAATTCAGGAAGTAATGAAGCAATATATGATAAGATTATTCCTCTATAAAAAAATATTTTTTGACTTTTAGCGTCATGGAACAATGCGAGCAATAGAAAAGAGATTTAGATGAATTCGAGTTTGAAGTTCGTCTCGATCAAAATGTATTTATGAATGCGTTTGATAAGTAATATGGTCGCAGAGGCTGTGCATAATTGAATTGCATAATTCATGGTGTGCGGCGAGGATGTAATTCTGATTATGATTAACGAGGAGACAGCGGAGGTTCTTCTCGCGTTGTGAGTTACTGCCGTATTATTGGCATCGAATGATTGGATTATGAATATACGAGTATTATAATTATAATCAAATACTTTGTATAAAGTTAAATGAAAATATTTACACCTTTCATTATTTTCAAAGTCACAAAATACTTGAATTATTTAAAATCTGTGTAAACAATTCATGGGAACGTTGACTACTAAACTCAATAGTTGTTTCTCGGATTACCAAACTCAAAATTTGTAATCTCACGGACCACTACCATGATGTTTTTCCATGAAAATGTATTACATACATACACTTATTCTTCCATTGGATCTTTTATAAACATGCTGTTTAAAAAAAATTGCAAATATATTCAAATTGCTCTGCGATCTATCAGTAATCCACGGACCACAGGTTAGCGACCGCTAGTATATATTATTAACAAATCTAAAACGCATTACGAAAATTGTCCTCTAATTTAAATTTAAATTATTGTATCATTTTTTTTTATGAAATATTGTAAAGATGTTTGTCTTACAGCAAATATTATATTATTATCGTTGCTTAATTTAATGTGGAAAATTGTGTAATAAATTAAACTTCAATTGTATTATGTAAATAACTATTTTCTGTTTGTTTTGAAACATTAAGTACATAATACTATTATTAGTTACTAATAATAATGTAAGATTATTTCAATAATAATAATAATTTATTGGCTAAACATGAATACATAAGAAAAAGAAAGTACATTCTATAGATAAATAAATTCTAACATAAAATTAAAAAAAATATATATTAATAGGTTGGCCAAAGGGCTAACGACCGAGGTCTTTCCGCCCGGGAACATAAATTTAATTATGGAATAATAACAGTATTATAATAATAATATACAAATGAAAAACAGAAGAATGAGGAAAAAAAAGCAGCGGAGTAAGAACAAGTGTGTATCAATCGAGGGACATTAGGTACTGGAATAGGGATAATGTGGAATATTTAAATTTGGGAAAGATATTTAGGTTTCGAGGGGCACAGAATTTAGAGAAAGAGAGGATATGTTGGACTGTTCGGATTTAAATTTCAAGGAGAGGGAAAGGTATCGGTCGAGGAGAAGAAAATTATTACATTAAATGTAAAATTTAGGTTATTTTATGAAACAATTATTTTTTTTTTATCGTTTGGTAAAAATTTCTTAAACGTTTTTTATAATTTTTAATGTGAAATAAATACTCCCGGACGTACGAACAAAATTCTAAAAGCTATAACTTGTTACAAGGAGATATATAGTAATAAAAAATATTAACTGTCCAAACAAAAATTGATAATTTCTTTAATAAAATATAATATTTTTGGAAGATGTTCTATGTATTTTGTTGCATTTTTTTCCTTTGTCATTTGTTTCCTTATTAAATAATTATGATGGCTACATTGAAAAGTATTTTTAAGTAAGTATTTTGTTTATTTTAATCTATTTTTTCGAATTTATGCAGTCAGAATTTAACATATATAAAAGTAAAAACCAAGTGCGGTAAGATAAGTATATTTCTCCAACTTGGACTTACGAACATCCCTTTGGAACGGAACTAGGTCGTAAGTCGGGGGTTACCTGTATATAATGATAGATTAATGCAGATATTTATTTGAAATATTGTAAAAAATAATTTGAAAATTATATTCTTGCTAGATGTTTAATAAAACTTCTTATTTTAATAAATGTTTTATGAGATTATCACGAATATTTTTTGTCAGAAGGAATGTGAAGAGTAAAGTTTAATTTGTATTAAATGATTATACCGATATGGTTTTCTACAAATATCTTACATACAATTTTAAGGTTAAATTTAGATAGGGTTCTTAAAATTTGAATTTCTTGAATAGAACATTATTTTTTTAAATTTTTACCGTCTATAACTTTACAAACATTTTTTTTGTAATGTGTTATAACACATATTATCATTACCAATACTCCGAACTGTCTGAAACTGGAATAATAGATTTGTAAAACGCAGGTAGGAATGTTTAAAACTAGACTATTCAAGAAACTAAATATAGCAATACCTCGCATAGTGTGGATAATGAGAGACTTTTACTGTATAATTAATAATGTTTGTGTATAATTAAATAATTTTGTCAATTTTCTCAATTAAAATTTAATTTGTATAGAAATTTTCAAACCGGTTTATAGCGAATCTGGATTGATCAAATACGAACTATTGCCTCATATCGTTATTCTTTATAAAAATATAAAATAATAAATAAAATCACAATGAAACGTTAATGCGTTTTATTTTTCTATATTATTTAATCAATCAATTTTTTTTCTTACAATTCCCTTGATTTCTCAAAATTTATTTGGAAATTGTTTCATTACTAAATAACTACTTTTTATATATTTGTTTTACTATCATCATCATTCAATACTTGATTTTTGTTAACAAAAAATATTTTCAAGCATCCATTAGATTTTTTTTCTTTACAACTTTAATAATTATTTTTTTTATGTAGTATTTAAAGGAATATTTAGAAAATAAACATTTTGCTGCGGTTTTTGTATGTTAGTTTAGTACATAATCAATTTGTTTTATTGTTTTTGAAAACAGTTTTAACGTTATAATACTGCAGAAAATCTACTTATTCATTATTATTAATTATTAAATTTAATGAGTGAGAACGTCGAAAAATTATTAGTTTTTTTTTAATATCATTTTGTTCAAGTAACTTCGGCAATAGTAAATACTGTTAAGTAATTTTGTGTATGATGCGTGCAAGGACAGGTATTCGTTACTCACGGATTTTTATTTTCTTTGATGGAAAGGCGAAACGGAATCGATATAAACTGTTTCCGCGATATTTCCATTCTGCTGTGAAAAGTAACATTTCCTTCTTTTGGTGTGAGGGAGGCAGACAGTACTAGTAATGGACGAATCGAATCGGAATGATTCAATTAGAGCATCGTCGACTGATTTTCCTTCCCGTAATTCTCTCGCTTTTGCCGTTCGTAAAAAGGGATAAACGGCGCGGATTCGGGCACCGGAAATTCTCCAACAAACATATTACATAATAACATAACATATTATTTAAGTATTAAGCTAATAGTTTCAGCGCTTGGTTCAATTGCCACAATTGCATAATAGTTTGCGTGCGTTCGAAGCGCAATAAAATCGATGAGATTCGAATTTGTTTTTGAAATTTGTCGGCTCTTTCTTCCGTTTTTTTCAATCCAAGAAAAGTCACATACGCATGATAGTGATTTTTCTTTTCTTCGATTGAAAAAACGACGGAAGAAACGTTATTTTTTGAAGATTTGCTACAAATGGACAGAAATCACGTTTGACCCTGAAATGATTAAGCGGCGTGTATAAAAGAAGATTCGCGGTGCTGTTCGGTGTTCTTTAGTGGCGAGAGTTTGCGATGGAACGACCAGCGATTCTTGTTCTTGTTCTGGCTTCGCTGTTCTCGGCAGGATGTTGCGCCAATATCTTGGGCATCTTCGCCATGCCTTCATATAGTCACTATACTTTGGGTCACAGATTGCTGGAGGAGTTGGCTGCAAGAGGGCATCAGGTCACGATGATCGCTCCGTACAAGCAGGATAAACCTATACCTAATTACAAGGAAATCTACTTGGAGGGTTTGGCTGACATAATTGGAGGTAATAAGATACATTATTTAAGACATAATTCTTAGAATAGCTTTGAAACGTTTTTATTTTCAGAGCAAAAGACAGTCTTCTTCGACATGGAAAACATGTATCCCGTCAACCAGGTGATCCTTTGCTACAAACTGGGATACACCTTTTGCGATTTTGTGCTCAAGTACAAACCGGTGTTGGATTTCATCAATTCCAATGTTACGGTCGATGTAGTTATCATGGACCAGTTTTTGAATGAAGCCTTGGTCGGAATTGCTCACCAATTGAAGGCCCCCCTCATCTATTTCAGCACACTGGGAACGTCCATTTGGAATAATCACTTGGTGGGAAATCCGGCGCCGATGTCGCACATCCCGCACAATTATCTCGATTACCAAGGAAAAATGGATCTATCAGAGAGAATGCATAATTTCTTCTTGAACAGCATCGAGGAAATCTATCGTAGACTGATTGCATTCCCGTTCCACGATAAACTTCTTCATGAAACCTTCCCGGATGCACCACCTCTCCACGAGTTACTCTACAAACGGGATTCTTTCGTTTTAGTTAACTCGCATATAAGCGTTAACGATCCTACACCTCACGTTCCCAATATGATAGAAATCGGAGGTTTCCATCCGAAGGCCCGAGAGCTTTCCAAAGATCTGCAAAAGTTCCTGGACGAGGCTCCTCACGGAGTAATTTTCTTCGGATTAGGTTCCAACCTCCGATCATCTTCATTACCGAAAGAGAAACGCGATGCCATCCTTAAGGCTTTAAGCAAACTCAAGCAGAAAGTCCTTTGGAAGTGGGAGGACGAGACTCTCCCAGGTCAACCGCCGAATGTAAAACTGGGAAAGTGGTTCCCTCAACAATCAATCTTAGGTGACAAAACAATGAAAAAAAAATAAAAACAAGTTTAAACTTAAATTCCTTTTGTGTTTAGCACATCCCAACGTGAAAGGCTTCATCTCCCACGGAGGACTCTTGAGCACCATCGAAGCCGTCTACTTCGGCGTTCCCATAATCGGTATTCCCATTTACGCAGATCAAAAGATGAATATTAATCTTGCGGTTAATCGTGGATACGCGGCTATGGTTCCATTCAAAGAGCTCACCGAGGAGAAGTTGACCTGGGCTCTGAACGAAATCCTCAACAAAACGTGGTAAGTAATTTCGCCAAAAAACATAAAACATTAACATCGCAGATAACAAAATTAATACAACAAATGTTATTGACTTTGATAACGCGTAATTTTTTTACTATAACAAATTAAGGATGGAATTGAGAACATTCTATTTACCAATAGGAAACGTCTCAGATGACATGCATAGAAAACTAATGATGGTCATTTATGTTGATAGTTTAAGACGTTTCAGTGTCCACACTCGAACATGCGATAACTTTATAAAATGCTTAGTCACTTGATAAAAACTATAATTATATTTTTTCATGACATCGCCTAATCTTAATGATGAAACAAATATTATTGCATTGATAAAGACTAATAATGTTATTTCAAATGAAATTTATACTTTAATAAAAAAGATATGTATTTACTTTTTTTTTGTAAATAATAACATTCAATTTTTATTTATTGTTAACTGTGACAGACAAAATGTAATTATCTTTTAAAAAAATAATTGTCATCATATTTTTTATTGCTTTCTTGTGTTTCTTTTAAATCTGAAAAAATAGAAACTATGAATATTTGATTTCAAACTAATTGTTGAATTAATTAATTAATTGCAATAATTGAATTATTTATAAAATTCCAATATTTATGGGTCATGTAACAAAACTGAAATAATCTCAATTTTTTAAACATATTTATAGAACTGTCAACATAACTTTATTAATGGAAATATTTTTCAGACAAATGACTTTAGATTTAATCATAAAGTAAATATATAAAGTATTTTTTATAATAGAACGTAATAAGTACACAAATATAGATATATTTGAGAATTTAATAAAACTGTATTTCTCATGACATTGCATTTTTAAACGAGAAACTAAAGTAATTATAAAGTTTAGAAAGTCCAACAATTTGTTTGTAAATTAATTACCGTAATTACATAAAAAGTAGTTATTAAATAATCAATTTATAATATTAATAGCTACAAAGCCTATTGACTATAGGGCTTTTACCTCAATATTAGATTAATTCAAAGATTAAATTGATATTTTATTTATTTAATTACATAAAATACTTTAACGAACAAAATAACAGATATATCTGTATAATAAAACAACATCGAGTATATTATATAAGGTTAACAGGTTAACCGGTAATTTTTTAATTGAAAAGTTTTTTTCCGGAAGGGTGATTAACTATTAAGTTTCAAGAAAGTAATAATACATTAACAAAAACCAATAAATATATACACTTTTTCTTAATGAATAAAGCAGAATTCATTCAAAAAATTAATTATTAATAACAAATACAAAACAAGTTAATCAATCTATCGACAAATCTATATGAGTTTTAGAATGTACAAACTTTCAGATGACGCATGTCAAAATTTCATGGCAATCTGATGCTTTTTGATAGGAAAAAAATACCGTTCAAGTAAAGTGTTTGATAAGTGTTATAAGGACTCTTCTCCGTCGAGACAAATGTTAGAGAAGTGGTTTACTAATTTTTAAAGCCCAAATTCGGCAATTGTTCAAGTCTGTTTGAAATGGGTACCGTGTTTTCTCATAGTGGACCAAAAAGAACAACGAGTTGATGATTCCTAGCGCTGTTTGGAGCTGTTCAAGTTATTTTATTAGTCATTCTACGAACTTATCGAAGGAGGTGTTAATGTAAATAACTTAAGCACTTAAAACTTCAACAAGGTAGTAATGTAGATATTATCATGATAATAATATTAATTTCATGTTCTAAAAACGAAATTTCTATATTTAAATCAATAAGACTTTTTCTTACATATTACTTTAATTGATAGATTTGTTTAACCATATCTAATAGGCTGTGTCGTTCGTTATTCTAAACTAAAAATATTAAAGAACTTCATATTTTTGGGAATCGACGAAAGTAAAATATTACATATTAAAAAATGTAAATTATAATTACCAAAATATTATCGACTGAGGTCTTTCTGTCAACTAAGATATTTATATGTGCATTGGTATTTTTATACATTTAAAACTTAAATATTTAAAAACATTTGAAACTTAATTATATTATTTATAAAGTTTTTTTTTAAATTTATTAGTAGTTGTATTTAAAATGGAAATACTTTACTCTTTTATTGAATCAATAACATTACAGAAAAATTGATAAAAATAGACTTAAACATATTAGATTTAACTGAAAAAAATATCAAAATATATTATATAATAATCGGCGAGTACAAAAAAAATATGTAATGTACGTAATAATAAAAGAGTAAAAATAATGAAATTAACATTTTCATCGATAAAATTGCAAATGTGTGTTTGGGAATGGTTACTTGCAATTATTCGGTCACGTTTCTTGACATTTTGTTTTGTTAAGATTCTAGATACTCATTAAAAAATAGTATTCTCATTTGCATGATTACGAAATAAGTAATATTTCAAAACGTATATTGTAAATTACATGTAATTAACTGATGTAGTAATGAAAATGAGTTTGCATCTATCAATCAATTAAGTTGTCAATTTAACGGATACAGGAATACCTCGCTTACTGCGAAACAGTCCAGTTTGAAAATATCAAATGAAACTAAATTTTAATTAAGAAAAATAAAGCTAATAAACAAATTTCTCTTTTTGTGCGGTTTTAGTCTTCGATTTCAAACATTTCGGAATCGATTACCCGAATTAAGCGAGATAGTGATATAAGTGTTGATCTGTTTTCTTTAAGCGTTTGTTTTATTTTTTTAGTTATAGAGAGAACGTGAAGAAGCGTTCGTCCTTGATGAACGACAGACCGATGAATCCACTACAGGAGGCCGTCTATTGGGTGGAACACATAATAAGGCACAAAGGGGCATCGCACTTCCGGAATGGTGCTATGGACCTGAAATGGTACCAATACGAAATGGTGGACGTAGCAATCCTCGTAGGAAGCGCCGTTATACTCACCTTGATCATAATCATCGTGGCCATTCGAAAGGCCCTCTCGCCGAAACACAAGAACCAGAAGAGCAAAAGGAAAACACAGTAATTTATTTATCATTATTATTATTTTTTTTGTTCTTCATCCATTCTCCATTTTTATTTCGTTAATCTCTTACATTTCTCAACATACGATGAACAATAATATTTAGATACATGTTTTTATTATTATTTTTTTATTAGTAATTATTACATATTTTTGTTGGTTTCTCGATTCAAGTTTTGATTATATACAACATTGAACAATGTTTCTCTTACATAATTATATATTTATATAACTCCACGACACTTATATTATTAAGTTATTTATATATTTTATTTTTTGAAATACACACTCATATTATATAATTGCGTGTTCCTTATGTACACAGATACAAACAATTCTTATAATTATTTCTTAACTAACAATATGTATATATTATATATATATTTCTATACATAATATAAAATAATTATATATCACAATACGAGTTCTTGTTGTTATTTATTTTGTTGTGTTTGTTTTATTTTGCTTGTTTATAATGTTAATTTTAAGATTCATTTGCGAGAAAAATTATTCGATTACTATTATCCTAATTATACTTATTATTTAAGGAAAAAAAAACACCCAACAACTTTATGTATTTACACGATTTACATCTAAGAACATCGATTTAATTAGTTACTATGTTACATTTCGCACCCTGCGATTCGCTTTCGAACGAAACAAAAGAATTGTAACAACAATAACAAAGACATAACAAATGAATCGGTTTTCGGGTGTCACCAATATAGGGCTCAGTTTAGATTGGTACACCTGAAATATCGTCGTCTCAGATCTAAATCCGAAGATCTGACACGAGGATTGATCCTTAAGTACTAGAATACATCGACTTAGGTTATACAACAGCATGCATCTGATTATTAAACTATCTATGTACAGTTCATATCCCGTTTACCCGATTCTTGTAATCCGTCGGGTCCGCTCGATGGATCGAGCGCGACGGCCGAAGGAAAACGAAACGAAAACCGATCTAAATTCTAGACAGATATGTTATCCTAGAATTAAATATCACATGAAAATCAATTCAATATTATTGTATTTATTATGTAACCGTACAAACTTCTTCTTCGCTGATCGTCACTACTTACTTAATCTAAACTAATAACAGCGCTACTACGCGATGAAACATGTGTTCAACGTTAAGCGGGACAGCGTAATTTGCCGAAATGATCCACGAAATCGTGAAAACAGCAAGCGGCCAAGAGGTTTCGGGTTATCGACCGAAGCGAAACGTGCGCCATCAAAACCAAAATCGAAACGCAATTATTATTCTGCGTTTTGTAATAACAATCGGCCGGGAGTAACGACTTGTTTTTTTTTCGGTGTGCAACCTTGAACTTATTTGAATCGAGGCTCCAGCAACGAGGATTCAATTATCGTGTTTCTATGACTTAATGAATATGACATGCAAATGAAGCACGCGATTTATAATGAGTTTTTGTGTTTGATCTCTAATTGAAGGTTCTTTTTCCCTTATATTTTTTTTCTTCATCTGCGATTTAACAAATTAGTATCGTGCGTTGGGTGAAAAACAAACAGACTTTTCGGTCGTGGAAAATATCGTGAGCGGAATTGGATTTTCGCGGTCGGAGCGGACGTAAAAATAAATTGGGAGCGCAGTCTAAATTTTTATCGGAAAACGCGATATTGGAAAATAATGAATAAATAAGCAGTATAAACATATACAAAAAAATACAGATCCGAAAATATTGATTGATTTATCTCGAGTGAAAAGCGAATGGAAGGGATGCTTAGACGAAATCGTTCGTGATTATGCTCCGACGGAATGAGCAAAGTTAAAAAACTTATCAGCTGTATTTTTCATAAGCGGAAAAGAAATCATCTAAATGAGGCAGAGCAATGTAAAAGAAAGAAACAATAATTTAGGTTTCATGAGGTGGAAAAGCGAATAAATCACATCGCGAATGGTTAAGGATTTAGTTTTCAGCGATTGCTGCAAACTAGCTAGGTGAATTTACGTATGAATATATGATTTTGGGTAGTAAATCACTTTACCAAACCAAACCATCGTTTGTTTAATTTCTGAAATTGGATTTTCATCAAATTGCTAATTGAATCGATTTAAATGAAATTCAATCAAATGTTTTTTTTTGTAATCAAGTTTAATTTTAGAATTTAACAACTATTGCTGAAATGTGTTTTCCGAATAAACAGCAGCGTTTAACAGTTCGATTATTTCGCTTATTCGAGTTGTTATTGCGGGAAGTGGGTATGCGTTTTGGTTGAATGCATCTCTTTGGAATATTTTTTTGGGTTCCGAATTGCAACTGTTGGCATTCGAAGAATGTTCCGGATTTGCGTCCGAACGGAAGTGGTTTTCTTGCGGACCGGAAGGACGACAATAGAACAAAAGAAGAGAAAAAAAATAAAACAGTTCAATAAAGCGCGTATCGAAAAACACGAAACCTACGGCCTGAAAACTTAATGTTTTCGATATTCAATTCTACATGATATATTTATGTACACGTTTCTAAGAAAGACTTTTGTAGCGTTATCAGGAACATTTTTTTTTAAATAATTAATCAATAAATTGGCATGAAACGTAAACCTGTGTTGTACATATTTTTTTTTGGTATAAATATAAAATTCTTATATACAGATTAACTTAAGGACGTATGATTCGCGTATGTACAGGGTTTTATCGCATCTTGCCGGAGCGGAAGTTCCGGATGCCGCCTCCGATCTGGCCGGAGAGGATGCGCTTGAATGCCTGCCGGAATTCCGGGTTGAAGATGGTGTAGATTACTGGGTTGAGGGTGGAATTGAAGTATCCCAACCAGAGCGAGAAAGATATGATGTAGGCGTTGATGGGGCAGAGGTCACCGCACAAAGGCATGACTAGAGCTAAAATGAAAAATGGTAACCAGCACATGACGAAGGCTCCGGTGATGATGGCCAAGGTTTTGGCTGCTTTGCGTTCGCGCTTTGCCTCCAAAGTTTCTTTGCGGTCTCTTCTTGAAGCCGCCACTCTTTCGATCGTCGGAGGTTCTTTATGGATCATCTCGATGCGGCTTAAGTCGCTCTGGTGACTGGCTGATCCGTTATTGGTGGTAGCCGATGAGGATTTCTCTGGGCTCACGTTGTTCGAGACGGCGACGTTGCTTTTGATCTTAGGCTTGGATATTGTGAACGCTGTGGTCTCCTCCGAGGCGTTTCCATTCACCTGACGTTCGTCCTCCTCCTCGACGACGTCCATTGTAGTCGTCGATTGACCCTCCATCATCACCAACGAAGCAACTAATGCCTCAGCGGCGGTCGACCTTTTCGTGGACTTCTTCATCCTCAGGAATTTTCTCTTAATTATGAAGCTCTTTGTGTTGTTGTTCGTTTTCGCTGTCTTCTCCACGTTGTGGTTGCGCATCTCGCGTCGTTTCCTGATGCGCTTCCTCGCCGTCTGGAAGATCTTCCAGTACAGGATAAAGATTACAAGAAGAGGTACGTAGAAAGAGGAAGATGTTGCAAAGATTTGGTATCCAACGTCCTGACTAACCAGACACTGCTTTTTTATATTGATCCTATCCGCATAATCAGGATCTTTCCAACCGAATTGTGGAATCTGTGGCGCTAAAGATACAACAAGCGCGACGCTCCAAATCATAACTATCATCACTCCAATTCTATGGCTGTTTCTCGTGTAGACCACATTCGTTACGGCCCAATACCTGAATGATGATGATATAATTAAAGTTACAGTAATACGAATGTATTTTATTCTTACCTATCCATTGCTATGGCAACTAAATGGAGTATGGACGCTGTGCAGCAGAGGACGTCTATGGTGGTCCACATGTCGCAGACTTCCGGACCCATGGACCAATTGCTGCTTATCTGCAACAAATTTCGTTATTACCATTAATGCCTCGGCTCGAAATTAATTTGGGGGAAACGCATAAATTTCGTCGGTAGTCGCAATAAATCCCGGCACGAACCTCGATCCCTCTAAATGCGACATGCGGTCAGCATTTCTGCAATAATAATCCGAAGGGGATGTAAGATATCCGGGAAAGAGGTTTCACATATTTCAAATTTATTGCAAAAACCTTCAAAATAAATATTTTAGTAGATGCAAATATATGAATTATTTTTTAATGTAAAAATCTAAATATTTCGATATTTTAGTTTCTTTAAATTTCATATAATAGTAGGATACATAAAATAGTTTACTTTTAGTGTGATATTTTTGTAAAACTCCATTTTTACAATTGATACTCCTCAGTTGTAAAATATAACAGCTTTTTTTAATGATGGCACATTCAAAAATTTAATATAATAAAATTGACAACAATAATTTCAAAATTCAAAGTGAAAGATTCAAATCTTATTATATGTAGTGTAATAAAATTAGTAATACGCAAACAAAAAATCACCATCAACAAAACAATGTTTGCTCTTTTGTATGAGAATAAAAAGTAGGTGTTTCTTTCAACAAAAGATCCTGATTTAAAAAGAAGTGTTATTGTGAAGTGATCGGTGTTAAATGCTAATATGTATATTCGTTAGGCCTACAACTTTCCTCTTAATTATTATACGACAAATATCACATATGTTACATATCCATGAAATATACCAGTGCTATAAGTAAAATTATTTAGAACAGCTTGTGAAATATTCCGATGATCGGTTATAAATCGTATAGTTCTTAACACTCAACAACACTCTTCCATCCATTAATACATTTTTGTATTATATAATTTACTCTTTGTTAAAAGTCGTAGGAAGAAGATAGCCTTAGTTAGTGAACACTTACTTCTTCAACACATGTATACTTGACTTCTCAATAAAACACTGTTATATATATAATAAAACTAAAATTCTACAACGATATAACTACGAGATAATCCACGGTGTGCAGAGATTTTTAATCCCGGGACACTTTTTATTTTCTTTAAGAAGAATACATTTCTTCTGAAAATGAAGTTTCACTTAACAAAGTAATTTCATGAAACCAATCCTATTTGGTCAAGGTATGACATAAATATTTTGAAAATATATATGTAATGTCATGTAATATACACTGAAACAAATACAATTATTTCAGAAATCAATACAAAATTAATAATATTGATTCTAATAGAAAGACTGCATAATTGAAAAGAAATATCAATAAAAAAACTGTTAAAAAAAGTTATTAACTCTTACATACTGAAGAAACATCTAAATTTACTGTAACCTACACATATTTTCCAAAACTCTGATAAAAGACCTAAGTAAAATGCATTAAAATGTTGTCTTATAATAATAAAATATATTTATAAAATATCTCAAATAAACTATATTTGATACATTAATTAAAGACATTAATATCTTGCATATACGAATTCAATCAAGTCTGGTAAGAAAAATTTCAAAACAAACTAAATTTGAATTTAGCAAATTAAAAAAAAAAATGTACATAAAATTATTTGTTTTATACATACATTCTTTTTCCTTTCATTTTGTGAGGTTTTTATGTATTTAGTTTCTCGATTAGTCCCGTTTCAAACAATGCGGGATATTTTCGGAATTATACGATGTATTGTTTTACAAAGAGCCAATGCATCACACGTGTACGCACTATTATGCAAATAAGCTTTTAAAAACATGAAAATTAAAAACAAGAAATATGAGAAAAAACGTTTAATTGTATTGGTAAGCAGAGTGATGTAAGACAATTAGATGCAATCTGATTAATGCCGTCTATACTTTCATGCCGCCCCCTACCCTCAGTTTTCGCGGGTGGAGTCGGTTTTGCCGCTTTAATTAAACAGTGAATTATTAATATGTATTAAGAGAACCGTTTAAGAATAATGAAGCAATTAAATTCAACAACGTTCCGCTTTACGATTCCTTCGGCACCCGAAAGACATTAAACTATTTAATGTGTGTTCATTAACTGTAACAAATATAACAAGCGCAATAAATAAATATAAGGGATATAAGTTTATTGCAACTAACAAATTTCACTATATCTATTAACATACATTAAATTAATAAATAAACAATGTTGATCACATAAAGTAAAACCTAAGTTCTCGAACAAACAATTCAATAAATTTGAATATTTTATAGTTTTGTCGATATGTAGTCCTAGTGGGTTTTATGGTAAAGTCTATATTAAAGTCAGTGTATTTAATAATATTTATTTAACATTTGGATAACTGATTTCTTAATCTAGCTTCCAATTGCTAACAAGCATAGGTTGCTGTTCAAGAATATTACTAGGACTAACTTAAAACTATATATTGTCGCCTTATAAGCTAAAAGGCTAACCGCATAGTAAATAATATTTTAAGTGAAGGGGCTCATTCGCCCTTCGAAATGTACGTCATCTGTACCCGGGGTTGTTACGTCATTCGCTGTTGAAAATGTAGCAATTTTCTGGGGAGTTTCATCTTGGAAATGCATAGTTTTTATAATTATCTGCCCATGTTGTTACATTATCTTCCACTTGAGACAGTGACATTAATGGGTATTAAAACAAAAACACGAGAAATCCTATCGTTTCTATAAAAGGTACTGTTTAATGTTTGCCGCCCTTGGGAAGTTTCCATAAGAATGTAATTATTAATACATAGTGCTTATTAACATAGATTTCAATAATTAATAATAAAGTGGTTGGACACAACAAAGCTTCGGTAAATTACAATTTTCAACAAATATTTCTCAAATAAATATTTTTTTTTGAAACTATTTAGTTCAAACTATTTACATAATTAATTGTGTTATCGTCTTATGCTTGCAAATGAGACTATTCCTTCGTCCCAGTCACGTATTACGTAGCGATTAGTAAGAAATATTATCAAAATAAATTATTATCTTATCTATTTTTTTGCTCAATTTGAATGAAAAAAACTTACCATTTCAAATGCCCATAAAGGAATATTGTAACGTTAGAAATAGATCATGTTCTCATTTTTTTATTAGCAACTTTGTGTAAATTTACTTTTTTTAGTAATTAAATTAAATAATAAATCCACCGTTAATTAAAAAAAACGAATTATAAAATGACACAATAACAACTAGTCTTTCCGACCTAATAAAAATATTAAGGGCATAATAACAAATAATATACAATTGAATAAGTATTCATTTTTATGAAAAAAGTGTTTTTATATTCTAAAAATTCAGTTTTCGTACAACCTTTAGAAACAAATTATGTTTCACAACCGAGGTTCCACTATATTACTGTTCTAAGACAGCAAATTTAAATGGTTACATAAAATTAATAAATGTAAAATGTCAACACTATGAGAGGTATTGCTGTATATATAATATTAAGTTACATTGAAAAAATAACGATACGAAAATACAAGCAGCGTCGTCCTCTTTATTTCAAAGTACTTTGAGAGTAAACATATTAGGTTTCACTGTTACCTTCTTCTTAAGCAGGATAAAATGCATAAAGCTGTGATATGAACCCTTACATCAAATTTCAAACCTAAACAAATTAAAATTAAGAAAATACAAGACAGTATATATTTTCCTCGTCTACTTACTGAAATAATACAATGTTACATGAGTGACATAAATGTTTATTAGACATACCAATCTGAAATTAGTTTTTAAAACTATAATTGATGCAAATAATAAGCTTTACGTGATTCTATTAATCCTTGATTCAACCATTGTGTTTGCTGGAAGAAATTGCGGACTTTGCTATATTGAAGCTGCATTATCAGAGGTAACGTTATCTTAGATATTGTAACACGGCGGGCACTAAAACCAATAACACAAAATCTTCGTTCTTAACGTGAGAAGGTTCAGTGCGCCACTTCCTTTTATTGAGAGAAAGAAATCTCTCATCTTTCCAGGAGCCTAAAACAGTCTTCTTTCACGTTTGGCTTTCAACTCTATCGAAGCTCACATTGCATGGAGGATAGTAGGTTTTATATTTATAATATGCATGTACAGTTTTGTTAAACTACGCTTGGATAGGAAAAGAAAAGAATACAATTTGACATGTATTCTTAAATAATTCAAATAGTTGTATCGTTGATAACTATCCACCGGTAAAGATTATCCATTTAATGTCAACCGCGATCTTAAATTTACTCAATGTTAATATTGATGAACAAATTGTGAATAAAATTATAAGACATAAAAAAATCAATTACTTCTGTATGATATCATACAAGTACTGAATAATGACTTATCGGAATGATTATTAAAGAAAAAAAGAGATATGCAGCAAAAAAAGTAGTCCCTAGTATTTCTTGAATTATTTACTAATGAAAGAATTCAATACTAAAGATACTGTACAAAATCAACGTACTTTTTATTCGTTATATAACTTATATTTTATTTATATTTCAAAGGATTAAGTGCTATAATTATTGGGAATAACTTAAAACAAAGATCAAACTAAGAAGTATAAAACTACACAATAAGAACAATAAATGGAAGTAATGAAACAAATAACATAACTACAGAAACTCTGAAAATTGAATTTGAAATTGCCATTTAATGAATGAAATTAACAGCAAAAAGCTATTACACATTACGTTTGTCTCGTTTTTATTTATTTATTTCTCTTGTCTTTATTTTCCTTTCGTTAAGAATATTCTTAGCATCTTCTGCCTCCTTTCGTTATTTTGTTGTTCTTGAGGTAATGAAACCGGAGAGAGAGCATCTGGATGGATGCAGGCCCATAAAATTGAAATTGAATTAATGGGAAGGGTTGGTCTGACGAAAGTGTGGAAGGGCGCATAAAATTTAACTTTGCAGATTATCGAATCTGATTAGATTCGGAACGCGAGCGGCGGCGGCCGGGGGTCGATGGAGGCGGTGGAGGCGCCGGGTTTGTTGGTGGATGTAATTTAATTAGGAAGTATCAGTTGGCTCCAGGGCGG